AGCTTCGCTTTCACAACGAAACAGCGTCACACACCGCAGCCTTGAGTGAGCGGAGGCCGGAGGCCTAGAGTGAGCCATGGCCTAGAGTGAGCGGAGGCCGGCTTGAGTGAGCAGAGACGAGCGGGCTTGAGAACGGCGCGGCCGGCGGATTCGACGAAGGAGGCGGTGGCGGAAACAACAATACTACAGCGAGAATAAAAGTTACGCCTTCTTTCTTTGCATGAACATTTGGGCGGCTATATGCAAATCTTCCCACATCGTGACGTAGACATGTGGGGGCGTGTTAGAACGAGCCGTTTTAGGTAGGCGTGGTTGACTCTTAACTTTTATAAAGAATATCTCTTTGGATTTGAGACTTTAGTCTTTGCAACTTTACAGATCTTCTTTATTCACCAAGAGCTTGTAACACTCCAAAGAGAAAATTCAAATTGAAATCGCATCATATGACCCTGTTAATGTGTTGTGACAGATCGCTGTAGCGTCTCAGTTCAAGCGGCATTTGAACTGATCATCTCTTCCTTTTTATTAGTTATAACACAAAATAAACATGAATTAACATCTGATACACACCACTTTTCAAGTTCAAGTCCACCGATGTTAATCTACTCTCCTGTCTGGTTTGTTTGTTGGAGAAAATGGCAGATTCAGCATTATGATTGGTCAGATCGCCTGTCAATAAAACTCCTTGTGAAGGTTGAATTTGGGTTTAATGTGATTTGAATATTGTTTGTAAATCTTTGTTTGCATTGGATGCTCATTTGAAAGTGTTTGAGTTACAACTGTGGTGATTTGATTGACTTAAGTTGATTTGATTTGTTGATTTGATTTAATTGAATTATTTTCTAAAGAAGAAAAGAAAAGAGACAAAAGAGTAAGTTTAATTCATAAATGTTTAATTATCATTTCAATTATTGTTGTTTTCCTGGAAAAACAAAACAAAACATGATTAATGTGCAGTGGCATACATGTGGATTTTCATATGGATTTGTATTTAGATTTTTGATCATTGTAACTTAATTATATAGTCACTTCCAGATTTTTAAATACACTAAATACTAAAAGTGTCATCTGTGATCTGCGGCTTTGTAAATAATGACGGTTACTTACTTGGTTGGTAATTCATTTTACAAACTAAAGTAAATTTGGGATGTGGCTCTCACCAGGTTATCGTTAATTCAGAATTTTCCCTAGACATGATTAGAAATTTGAGCCATAACTTTGGTGAGAGGGCTACACAATGAAGGAAGCATTATTGTGGATTATGGACTTGTATTTTTTTGTCCAGAAACAGCATTTAAATTTCCTTCAAACTTCTACAAACACACAGCTTTTGGCTTCACATGACATTAATCAATGGTGTGGATTACTTGTGGATTATTGTGATTTTTTTATCAGCTGTTTGGACTCTCATTCTGACGGCATCCATTCACTGCAGAGGATCCATTTGTGAGCAAGTGTAATGCTGAATTTCATCAAATCTGTTCTGATCTACATCTTAGATAGCCTGAGGGTGAATACATTTTCAGAAAATTTAAATTTTTGGTTGAACTATTCCTTTAAAGCAGAGACACCCAGTAGAAGGTGTTGGTATTGATTTATGTTGCTATTGATTTCATACCAAACCCATACACTTTCAGCCAGTTTCTTTGTGCCCAACTGTTAAGGTTTAATCAAATCTCTCCCGTTTTTGCCATTATTTCTTAATTCAGTATTTTTTGTCCAGCTTTTCATTTAGCATCCATGCTAAAGTGATCAATTCATAAATTAGTAGGCCAGCACAGATTACAGCGAATTTCTGTCACCATAGTAACAGACGACAGGAGGTTTTCCAGTGAATCAAGCAAAGTCTTTTTCTGATCAATAGCTCTGTAAAACAAGGATCTCACAAATAGGACACAATCTTTTTCTCATTTTTTTGTGTAGTCAGATATTTGGTGTTTTTTTGGAAAGTTTCAAAAGTGAATGTGTTTCTTAACTGTCCCTAATATGATTCTCTAGAATGTTTTTTATTCTTTCTTTCTTTGTTTTATTTATTTATTATTATTATTATTTTTTTTTTTAAGTGTTATTTGATTTAAAGAACCACACTGCATGATACCATTGTTGTGACATTTAATTTCACCAAGCAGTTACATTGATTTTGGTCTTTTCCCTTTCAAGTAGATGCTATACTTGCTGGAAATGGTTGCAGGACATTACAAACACCCACTGAGGGAACTAGCTTGCCTTAAAGCCACTTTGGTTGAGAAGAGGTGTGCAGTTCCTTTTCGAAGTGATTAAACATTTAAGAAGGGACCCTTAATATGTTGTTCTTTTGAACTTACTAAATTCATCAAAGAATCGTGAAAAATAAAATGGATCACGGTGTCCACAAAAACATGAAGCAGCACAACTGTTTTCAACATTAATAACAACAACTAATGTTTCTTGAGCAGCAAATCAGCATATTAGAACGATTTCTGAAGGATCATGTGACACTGAAGACCGGAGTAATGGTGCTGAAAATTCAGCTTTGATCACAGGAATAAATTACGTTTGAAAATATATACACATAGGGTACAGTTGTTGTAAATTGTTCTGATATTTTACAACATTGCTATTTTTACTGTATTTGTATCAAATAATTGCAGTCTTGATGAGTGGAAGAGGCTTGTAAATAAATAAATAAAGCAGTGACTTTGGACAATGTATTTCCATTTATGATGATCTTAATTATCGGACAAATCAGTTTGTTTGTTTGTTTTCAATACAGTGCCTAAGGGTTGATTGTGATCTTGTGGAACTGCATGTTCATTAAGATGATGAAGATATTCTCATGAAGCAAAACAGACATGGAAAATCATTTTCTCTTTCAGCTATCGCTGGCATCGTGTTGTAGCTCTCTACTATATTAGTGTTTTTCTTCTCAAGGATACGAGAGAATCATACCTCGGCCAAATTAACTCATGACTCACACTTCACACTACCCACTTTCTCTAGTATCCTTCTCTGGTTAGCACAGCAGAGATTACTCACCAAATATCTGATCCACACCAACCCACCAGTACAGAAACAACCTGAAAGCAGACAACATTTTCTCGTCCTCACGCTTGCATTCTTTTTCTGAAAACTCTGTTACATTATTTTTCCTCATTAAAAAGTTTGGTAACACTTTACTTGAAGGGGTGTGCATAAGACTGACATGACACCTTCATAATCATGACATGACACATGTCATGAATATGAAGGAGGTTTTATGCATGTTTATGACAACTGTCATTAAGTGTCATTCGCTCAGTTATGTAATTTTTAATGCAAATATGACATTATTTGACCTAACCCTAACCTAACCCTACCCTTACCCCTAACCATAGCCCATAACAAAGACATCTCAAACAATGTCATCTTTGCATTAAAAATTAAATAACTGAGCGAATGACACTTAATGACAGTTGTCATAAACATGCATAAAAAACCTTCATATTCATATGACATGTGTCATGTCATGATTATGTAGGTGTCATGTCAGTCTTATGCACACCCCTTCAAGTAAAGTGTAACCAAAAGTTTTAACCCTAATGAATAGCACATCTGTTTTAAACGATGTACACTCACAAGATGAATATGCCAGTTATATAAGATTTTAACATTTTTCTTGACCCATTTGAGACATTTTTAACACAAAATTGAATTAAAAATACACAAAAACTGTTGACCGTAATGAACAACAATGTGCCTTTGATCATTGCATACTGACTCTCATATTTCTGAAAACCTCAACAATACCGAGTGCACAAGGAAATCTCAGCAAATGAAATATACTCAGTAGCGGTGACATTTATTGCAGCAGTGACAAGGTGTAATTAGCATCAGGTGCATCGCATCCTATACGTTGACAACAGTGATCCATTGTGACGCCCCTTTTCTTGCCTACACACTTCTGATATGAGCAGTGTGGAACACATCAGAGTATCAGAACACCGTGAAAGTGCTTTGTAATAGGGAAGGTCTGTAATTACTGCTCTGTATTACGTCTCGATGGTAGATGCTTGACTGCCATGCATTATTTTATTTATTTATTTATTTTTGTTCTTTGGTATTGCGGCATGTGAAATTATTATGTGACATAATTAGTGAGATTACAATTGTAATGCAGTATAAATAGTATTGTATGTGCATCCCAAATAATAGAATGCGTGGAGTGTATTGCTCCTGGTGCAGTATTTTTGAAGTATGCATTCATGCATGCTTTTTAGGTTAATGTTGAGCTTTCCCTGTTGTTGTATCAAGATGGATTTTCATGATGTTAGTAGTATGCTTCAGTGCTAGCACACTGGCTCACTTCAGACTTAAAAGCATGCCAACATACTTCACCATAGCCAGCACAGCACAGCACTTTCTGTACTTCCATATTACAGTATGATAACTGGGATTCAGCCTACAGTCTTGATCAGGAACTAAATATTGTAAGTTTCCCCAAGGAGGTGGTTTTGTCAGGAAGGTTGCATGTAAATAGCCAGTTTCTGATGTATTTCTTTCTGCTCTTTTGTGCCGTTTCTTCTAGGTAGAAGCTATAGAGGAACAGTTAAGCTCAACATTATGATGAATGCTTCCACGTGTTAGAGGCTTTTCATCATCTAACACTTTAGGGTGTTTCTCCACGTTTCCCAGCCCTGTGCAGCTCTTGGAGACTTTTTGCACATTATAAAATATTAGTGGGATGTCTGCAGAAGAGCCCAGCGGCACAAAGATGGGGGCTGTTTTGAGCTAATCTAATCGGTATTTATGTGTGTGTGTGTGTGTGTGTGTGTGTACATAACTAATGCAGTGGACTCAGATTAAGTCTTTTTACTTGAGCAAAAAAGTCATTTGAGCTTTTCCTTTGAGATGTTTTTCACTGCCAAAGCATGAGTTTGAATTATGATTAATATTTAAAACATTGACAAACTGTGATTTGTGCTTGAACTCAGCATGAAACACCTTTTGCAAACCATTTTACTTTTATAATGTGAGTGAAACATGATATTCATTGAGAAAAAAGGCGGGACTTGACTCAATTGCTTAATCGGAGACATTCTTGTCTTCCCCTGCACCGGAGTCGACACAATGGTGGACAGCTCTCAGCTGTCAAGGTGGGTCTAAGGTAAA